GATGGCGCCAGAGGATTCGGTTGGATTGAAGGAGAGGTAAATCTGGACGTCGTTGGCGTACAGATGGTATTGACAGTGTAGGATCGAGGATGAAAGGTCATTGATGTAGATGGAAAAAAGAGGAGTCTTGTGGGACACCCCTGGATAAAGGTAATGATTCTGATGGGAGGTTATTGGGGACTACAACATACTGGGAGCGGTCGGAAAGGAAGGATTTGAACCAATTAAGGGTATTAGTTGAGAAGGAAATATTTTTAAGCTTGGTTAGGAGAATTTTGTGTTCTACTGAGTCAAAGGCTTTGGAGAAGTCAAGGAGAATAACGATAATGAGTTTCTGCTGGTTCATGACTGTATGAAGGTCTTGGGAAATTTTGATGAGGGCAGACTGAGTGGAGTAGCCAGGCCGTAAACCGGACAGGTTGGGATTTAGGAGGTTATTCTGTTCTAAAAAATCAGTGATATATTGCAGAATCCACTAGCGGATCCAGAATTTAATTTTGGGGGGGGCTTCAGCCCGAAAGCTTTTTTTTCATAAAAATGACGATAATTACTTTGGAAAAAAAGAAAGAAACTAAATATCTATATGAAATGGTGTTTAAGTGATTCCTAAGTCCTTTAAAATGTAATTACACGAACAATAATACTTTAAAAGATAATTTTTTAATATATTTTTCCATAAAACATGGTTATATTTTACCATTTTGGGGGGGGCTTCAGCCCGAAAGCCCCCCTCCCCCCCCCCCGTAAATCCGCCCGTGGCAGAATCTACCCTTCATTCAGATTCTGCAAATCCTGTCACTAATACAATTGTACCCAAGTAGCGCATGTTGTATATTTTTTCTAATCATGAAACCGGTGCCTCTTCGATTTCTCTTAGAGCCACTATTTATTAACATGTACTTGCTAAGGGGCACAATATCAATATCTCCCCACCGGATTTCCTGTAGAGCCACTACATCTACTTTATATTGTTCCAATGCTATCTCCAGAGCTCTGCTCGCTCCTGGCTGCATTATGCTTTGGACATTCCAAGTCCCGATTCTCATTCCACATCCACTATTTTCCTCTCTCTTCTTATTCTCGAGCATCTTTCAAGATCTGGTGTAGGTGGGGACCCCCGTATCTGAATGGGTCCCTCTGAAGATTATATCTATGTTTTTGGCCTTCACCATTCCTTTATAAAAAACTTCCTTCTTGCAGTTTCTGGACTGTACTTTTTTTTGTAGAGATGAGGTCGCCCATCCCTCATGCTCAACCCTCCTCCTTTATCCAGACTTGGGACTGGCAGTGGTTCACCTAGCAACACTATACCCACTGGCGGAGTTGTATAATAAGTCTACATGTATGAAAAACTCAAAATATACATAATCAGTGAAATATGTTATTATATAGCATTTCCAAGTCAATTTCAACCTTTTCCAAATCAAATTCAACCTTTTCCAAGTCAAATTAAACCTTTTCCATTTCAAATTCAACCTTTTCCAAGTCAAATTCAACCTTTTCCATTTCAAATTCAACTTTAGAATTTTTGTCAATTTTCGATTTTTTTCGAAATGAAGGCCACTTACTATATTATCGACGGCATAGCTTTTAAAAACTACAAAAAAAAATTTGATTACGCAGTTGCATATCCATTTATTTTAACATTTTAGATTTTTTCAGTGTGATATTTCTATGTGATATTCAATTATTTCCAAGTCAAATTCAACCTTTTCCAAGTCAAATTCAACCTTTTCCAAATCAAATTAAACTTTTTCCAAGTCAATTCAACCATTTCCATTTCAAATTAAACCTTTTCCAATTCAAATTCAACCGTTTTCATTTCAAATTAATGTTTTAAGTTTTTGTAAATTTTATATTTTTTTTTTAAATAATGGCCATCCCCTCCTCCCCTCCAATATGAAAGTCTATTATTATGCTCTCCTAAGTAGAATTTTCACTTACGGATATCGATTTATTGTACCTATTCGGATTTATTAGGGACTTGTATTATGCTGTCCTGTACCTAGTTTTGAAAATAACCTCCTTTTTAAGATTACGTGAGTGCGTTTCGAATTATTTAAGTTTTTTTGACTTATTCGATATAAGGGTGTATTTTTATGTTTCCCGATCAGTAAATTTTTAAAATGACATCTATTTTATGTTTACGCCACTGTGTTTTGATTTATTTAAGTTTTTAGAATTTATCCAATATAAAGGTCTACTTTTTTGTTTCCGGAGCCGTAGATTTTGAAAACGACCTCCATTTTAAGATTAGGCCACCGCGTTTCGACTTATTTGAGTTTTTCGGATATTTTTCATATGAGGGTGTATTTTTATGTATCCGGAGCCGTAGATTTTGAAAACGACCTCCATTTTAAGATTAGGCCACCGCGTTTCGACTTATTTGAGTTTTTCGGATATTTTTCATATGAGGGTGTATTTTTATGTTTCCGGAGCTGTAGATTTTGAAAACGACCTCCATTTTAAGATTAGGCCACCGCGTTTCGACTTATTTGAGTTTTTCGGATATTTTTCATATGAGGGTGTATTTTTATGTATCCGGAGCTGTAGATTTTGAAAATGACCTCCATTTTAAGATAAGGCCACCGCGTTTCGACTTATTTGAGTTTTTCGGATATTTTTCATATGAGGGTGTATTTTTATGTTTCCGGAGCTGTAGATTTTGAAAATGACCTCCATTTTATGATTACGCCACTGCGTTTTGACTTATTTAAGTTTTTCGAATTTATCCAATTTAAAGGTCTCCTTTTATGTTTTCGGAACCGTAGATTCTGAAAATGACCTCTATTTTATGATTACGCAACTGCGTTTCAACTTATTTAAATTTTTAGAATTTAACAAGTATAAAGGTCTAATTTTATGTTTCTGGAGCAGTAGATTTCCCCCATTTTGTAAATGACCCAATTTAAAGTTTATGCCACTGTTTTGGATTATAAAAGTTTTTTTTTTACTTTTTCGGTATAAGGATCTACTTATATGTTATCCGAGACGTATTGAAATTTTTCTAATCTTTAATATTTAAATTTATCTAATATTTAAGCTCCATTTTATGATTAAGCCGCTGCACTTGATTAATTAGGCTTAATTTGGATTTTTTCAATACAAAGTTTCATCAATATATTTTCGAGTATGAATAAATAAATAAATATTATGAAGCTAAAGTAAAATTAACCACAGAATACAAACTAAAAAGCCGAAAAGCAACTGGTAATAAATTTAACCTTCCGTATTCAGATTTTTCAGCTAATTGTTCGAAATCTTATAATTTTGTGATAGGAGACCACAAAATTAAAAAAGATAACTAGAATTAAATTAAAAATGAGACAATACATATTTTATTTATTTTGATTAGATATTTTTATTTATTTATTGAAAAATAAATTAATCCTTCGTATTATGTTTTTTATTCGAAGGAAAAAGCAAAAACACTTAACAAAACCGAAACACAGTGGCCTAATCTTAAAACGTAATTCGTTTTAAAAACTAAGGCTCCGGCATCATAAAAGTAGACCTTTAAATTGGATAAATTCGAAAAACTTAAATAAGCCGAAACGCAGTGGCGTAACCTTAAAATGGGGGTCATTTTCAAAATCTACGACTCCGGAAACATAAGAATACACTCTTTTATGATAAAAATTCGAAACACTTAAAGAAATCGAAATGCGGTGGCCTAATCTTAAAATGGAGGTCGTTTTCAAAATCTACGGCTCCGGAAACATAAGAATACATCCTCATATGAAAAAAATCCGAAAAACTCAAAGAAATTGAAATGCGGTGGCCTAATCTTAAAATGGAGGTCGTTTTCAAAATCTACGGCTCCGGAAACATAAGAATACATCCTCATATGAAAAAAATCCGAAAAACTCAAATAAGTCGAAACGCGGTGGCCTAATCTTAAAATGGAGGTCATTTTCAAAATCTACAGCTCCGGAAACATAAAAATACACCATCATATGAAAAATATCCGAAAAACTCAAATAAGTCGAAACGCGGTGGCCTAATCTTAAAATGAAGGTCGTTTTCAAAATCTACGGCTCCGGAAACATAAAAATACACCATCATATGAAAAATATCCGAAAAACTCAAATAAGTCGAAACGCGGTGGCCTAATCTTAAAATGAAGGTCGTTTTCAAAATCTACGGCTCCGGAAACATAAAAGTAGACCTTTATATTGGATAAATTCTAAAAACTTAAATATGTCAAAACACAGTGGCGTAAACATAAAATGGATGTCATTTTAAAAATTTACTGATCGGGAAACATAAAAATACACCCTTATATCGAATAAGTCAAAAAAACTTAAATAATTCGAAACGCACTCACGTAATCTTAAAAAGGAGGTTATTTTAAAAAACTACTCATACGATAACAGACCCACGCATCGAAAAATTAAAGATAATTAAATAAATAAAAAAAGGTTGAATTTGAAATGGAAAAGGTTTAATTTGAAATGGAAAAGGTTGAATTTGACTTGGAAAAAGTTTAATTTGATTTGGAAAAGGTTGAATTTGACTTGGAAAAGGTTGAAATTGACTTGGAAATGCTATAGATTAAAAAAAAATTAAAATAATCGAAAACAATGCAATGATAAATGTTCTCAACTGTTTAAAAAATGCCAATATTAAGCTTAAAGAAAAATATATTTAACATGGAAATCCCATACCTAATTCTGGCACCACTTTGTATATCTAGATGAGTCAATATAGAGTGGTCTATTTATGTTTTTTTTTAAGTTATTACTTGTGAAAGTATTTATTTTTTTTAATTATCATTCTTAGTAATACCAAGAAAAGTACAATTTTTTGTATTTCTTTAATGCCATAATTGAAAATTGTGATGTTTGTCTAAAGTTTTAGTTTTTAGAATAACAAGGTTTTTAAGACTATATATTTTTTAATTGTTATAAAATTATTTATTATATAGTTTCTATGTAGAGTAAGTGAGTTAGGATTGATTATACTTTTTCTTTTATTAATTAATTTTATTTTGTTTTAAGGAATATTAATGGATGTTACGTTAGATGTGAATAGGTGAGAAAAAGTAAATAATTCTCTAAATCATTACAGTGCCTCTAAATCATTTACAATTTACTAAGACACTTATGATCTCTGTGAGGAAACTTTCAAAAATTATTTTTCTGGATAACCAACTAGAAGTAGTCTAAAGAATTTTTCTTAGCTTTTTTTCAATGAGCATTCAGAATGAAATTAATAATAAAACATATTTTCCAATCAACCATTCTGAATTCAAACTGTGAAGCCAAAATACTCTTCTGTTACATTATATATGATCTTTTGGAAACTGTTAAAACTAAGTATAACCAGAATGTACATCATTAGCAGACTTAAAGCATGTATAAAAATATTACAATTTTCAGACTAAGTATAATTAATTAATTTTACATAACAGTAGATTAATTATTTGCATGATAAAGTCACTTTTATAAAGTTTATTACCAATGTTTTTTTTAATGAATTAAACAATTTCTTTTTTTTTTTTTTAATATAGAACCCAACTATTTAAGGGGGTCACTAATGAAGAGCTTTAACATAGTAAAAAAAGGCCTCTGTCTAAAAATAATTTAAATTTTTCATGAATATTATCTATATTGAATAAAGGATTTTTGATTGATAAAAAAATGTGAGTTGTATTGTTGATTGAAATTTTATTTATTTTTTCTTTGTCAGAGCTGTATTGCTATTTAATTGGAAAATTAAGAACTGATATATTGTTTGTAAATATCTCCTTTTAGTAGTTCTATAGTACTATTGGTGAACAAAATTGCTATCTGATAGCTAATATCGATAAAAGAAAAATCTGATGCAAGCGCTCATTATAAAACTTTCATTTACCATCCTACTTAGAATAGAAATAAAGCTACTAAGTTTATGTCACTTTCTATTTCCTTTTGAGGGAATGGGGTAGCTCAGTGGTAGGGCACTGAGCTTCCAATGCTAAAGGTCCCAGGTTCGAACCCTGACTCATGGCAGAAAAATTATTTATTCTGTTTCATTGGCTGTGGGGCAACCCTGGGTAGATACTCTCCTGAGGCCCACCCAGCCTCTATAAAGTGGGTATCCTTAATTAATTGAGAGAAAAAAACCTAGTGGTTGAGCGTGATCTCGGTCAAATCACCTCTTTGCACAACTGTAGATCAAGAAACAGTGCTTTCTCTAAATATTACTGAACCCAAGACCCTTAATGGCTTGTAGTGGTACAGGTTTTTCTTTATTTCATTTATTTATTTTTTTCTATTTCCTTTTAAGACTGTACACAGTATCTAACAATACTAATATTTTTGGGAAAAATGGATCTTTTGGAAAAATTCTAAGCTTTATCGGAAATATCTATCATGAAATTTATTGAAGTGGTTAATTTTTTTAAATAAACAAAATTAATGGTACCTAAGAGGAAGACATTTTAAAAATTCAGCACTTAAGCTCTGGCATACTATTTCAATGAACATAATATCTACCTAATATCAAAGTCCACTTGATTGTACATGAAATTTTCCTAACAATAATTTTTACTAATACATCGGTTTATTATGATATATTATTAAAATTTAAACACAATTTTTCTGTTTCATTTATTGATATTTACAACTGTATACATATACAATAAGTAAATCTGCTAAAACATGATAAAAATTACCCATTGGGAGCACTTCAAAAATTAAATTAATTTAGAAGGTACCTTGGGCATCAACAAACTTAAATTTAAAATTATTTTAGTTTTTCAATTTTACATTAGTGACTCCCTTAATCTGTTTTCTTATAAAATTTGTTATTTGATAAAGGATATTAGATTTTTTTTTTTTTTTTCAATATTATTTATTTATTGAGGATACAGATCATAAACACTATAGCTATTTGAAAATAATGTTTCATTGTAATTGTTTTAATTTATTATAATTATTTATTTGACATGATAGTTATTTTAAACAAACAATAATTTTGTAAATATGTAAACTAATGTTGCAACACATGATACTTTAAAGTTTAATACAATAACTATGAAGAGGTAATTTTCACTTAAGCTGTATATTTTTAAATTACCAGTTAATTTTGTTGACTGACATTGATGTTTAGACCATAAGTTATTTAAAAATTTAAGAGTGTGACACAGTTTAATAACTTCTTTTTATAATAATGTGAAAATATACCAAAGATTCTTGTCTATTTTTTAAAAAATAAATATTTTATTATACAATAATAGATATTTAAATTTTATTTCTGCTTAAATGCAGTGGTAATATTCAAAACATCATGCATGCTGTTTAACTTTTTTAAACCATATCTATGTTGTTTTAAACAGCATGAGATTCAACAACCAACTATGTTTGTGTATATATATATATATATATATATATATATATATATATATATATTATATATATATATATATATATATATAATTTTTTTTTTTTTTTAAGGAAAAAGTGATTAATAAAATTTGGCATTCTACAATGCTAATTTAAAATGAAGAATTTGTAATAATGTCCATATGGAAAATAGAAAATGAAAACTAATATAAACGTAGCTTTTTAGCTAATTGATAGCAAGCTTCTAATAAAACACCCTATGAAACAAGAAAAAAAAGGAATGTATAAATTGATATGCTCTAATAGTGTAGCTGGAAAGTGTTGTAAGAATAAGGAACAGAATGAAATTTGTAAGATATGACTGACAAGAGTTACTGGAGAATGTAAGGACTGTAGTGCTGTGTTGATCAAATATACTATGTCTGTGATTGATCCTTAGAGGTATTGCACTAGGACCCACCAAAAAAAAAAGAAAAAAAATTAAATTACACCTAATTCTTTTACTTCAAGGATATAGAAATAATTCACAATCTTTACAATAGCTAGCAGTACTAGTGATAGGCATTGAGGCTATGTTTGTACCAGACTTGGTCAGTATTTCAAAATAAAGTATTTTAAAATACAAAATACATTGTTTGTAACTGTATTTTCTTTTCAAAATGCATTGCAATGTATTTGTATTTTATTTCTAAAAATACAAAATACATAAAATGTATTTTTTATTTTAAATACATAAAATACATTATCAAATCGAGAAGGCGCCTTTAAGTTACGTAGTAAGGCTGATTGTTCGTACTAGAACTCGTCCATGAAAATTGAGCTTGAAATTTTTTTGAAGTATATGGTACTAAATTTTTGATATAATTATTTTTGGTAATAGATATTTAGAAATTATGAAAGGTTTTAGGATTTTCCATCGATAGGAGTATATTATCAATAGATATATTGTTGGGAAAAAGAAATGCATTTTTGTTTATATGATTTTAAAGAATTCCTCCCTAATGAAAAAGAAAGAAATGCTCGAATTAATCAGAAAAAATATATATTAATTTTTATTACAGTGAAGTTGAAAATTAACAAAAAATGCTTAAGAGATTTTTAAAAAATCATTAAAGTGATAAAACTAAAAATTGCAAGTAAAGTTTCATTAATTAAAATTACAGTTAACCTAAGAAATTATTAAAAATATTTTTTTTAAATGAAATTATTTCTATAATTCAAATTTTATGTTTTCAAATCCTATTGAAATTTACAAATCCTAGATGACTACCCTGTGATAAAAATTATTTTATAAAATATAACTCTCCACTGCCCACATCACGGTCAGTTCTCTAATTTGTTGGATGAAACCAGAATAAAATTCTTAAATGATCAATTGTTGGAATGGGTATTATTAAAAGCTAATTGCCAAAAAGTTTAATTTTGAATTATTACCTACTTAGTCTATTTATTTGTTGGTAAGTTATACCTTTAACAAACTGTACTTTAAAAAAATATGTTTTGAATAAAATACTTTTTCAAATAATTTTATTCAAACTATTTCAAATGCGCTCTCTTTTCATAACCGCTTTCTCTCTAAAAAAAAAATAAATAATAATAATAAATAATAATAATAATAATAATAATAAGAGTTCTTGGATACAAGAAGAACTGCAAAGTCTTCAGAATGTCAATGGAATGATGGAAGTGACCATAACTGTGGAAGATGTTTCGGAAGCGGTCAGAAACATGAAAAATTGGAGGGCACCAGGACCTGACGGAATCCAAAATTACTGGATTAAAAGATTTCATTGCTTCCATGAATTGCTGGCCAAAGGTTACCAGGAAATACTTGAAGACAAACAGAGCCCCCCCGATGGTTTCTCTGATGGCATCACGTATATGCTTCCGAAAAAGAATGACTTAAACATGCGTCCTGAAGATTTTCGGCCGATAACGTGTTTAAATGGTCTGTATAAAATTCTAACGTCCATCTTGGCAACTAAGATATATGAGCACCTCGAAAGTGAGAATATGATACCCATAGAACAGCTAGGGTGCAAAAAAGGTGCTAGGGGTTGTAAAGAACTCCTAGTAATAGATTCGTTCATTGCAGCACAAGTTGCGAAAAAAAAGCGAAACCTCTCTATGGCATGGATCGATTATAAAAAGGCCTTTGACTCGGTTCCCCACAGCTGGCTACTTAAAGTACTAGATATATACAAGGTTGAATCTAAAGTAAGCAGGCTCCTTTCAAACTTAATGACAGGTTGGAAAACTACGCTGAAAGTTGGAACTATCTGCACAGGGAATCAAATTAAAATATTGAGAGGAATATACCAAGGAGATTGTCTAAGCCCCTTATGGTTCTGTATGGCTTTGTTCCCACTAAGCAGGATCCTTCGAAAGAACAAGATGGGATACAAATTAATCATCAACGACGAAGCTACCACAGCTGGTACATGGATGACCTTAAACTATATGCGAAAAACAAAGACCAATTACAAAGCATGATTGAAGCCGTTTCATCTTTTAGTAGTGATATAGGCATGTCACTCGGTCTGGATAAATGTGCGGTGCTCCATGTAACCAAAGGAAAAGTGGTTAGTATGCAGAATATTCTAATCAATGAAAAAGAGTACATCAGGGAGCTTGAAGATAATAGGTTATATAAATATCTCGGAATGCAGCAACATCTTAAAATTGCAAGAAAAGATATGCAACAAGACCTTCTGACAATGTTCAAAATTAGATTGCGGAAAGTGCTCAAAACCCAGCTAACCGGGAAACAAAAAATCAAGGCCATTAACACCTGGGCAATACCTGCTCTCGGTTATAGTTTCGGCATATTGCACTGGTCGAACACCAGCCTACAGGAGATCGACCGCCTTGTGCGAACAACTCTCACACAAGAACGGGCCCACCATCCAATATCCTCCAAAGCTCGTCTGTATTTGCCTAGGAAAGAAGGAGGACGTGGTTTGCTAAATATCGAAGAAGCTTGCCGCAAGCAGGAAGCAGCCCTACGCCGATACTTTCTTACAAAAACAACTGAGGTTTACCTCGCAATCTCAAGATTGGATTATGGTCTAACCGCACTTAACCTGAGCAATCGTGAGGTATCTACAATCGTGTCAGAAAACGAACGCTTGACAGAATGGAAAAATAAATCTCTGCATGGAAGATTCTACAGCAAATTAAATGATAGCTCGATTGACAAGGAAATATCCATTGAATGGCTGAAAGCTGGAAAGATATTCTCCGAGACAGAAGGATTTCTGCTCGCCATCCAAGACCAAGTTATTGCTACTAGATCATATAGAAGGCATGCTTAAAGACGCAACAACTACGGATAAATGTCGATTATGCTCAGCGACGCTGGAATCAATCCAACATGTCACAGGTGGGTGTGGAGTGTTGGCTGGCACCGAGTATCTCCAGAGGCATAACAATGTGGCTAGAATTTTTCATCAGGCTCTGGCGGTGAAGTTCAACTTGTTAGTTGACAAAACTCCATATTATAAGTACCACCCAAATAAACTCCTCCAAAAAGGTAGTCTCAAGCTCTACTGGGATGAATCGATAATAACTGACCATACTGTGCGTCACAATAAACCAGACATCCTTCTGATAGACATGAGAGAGAAAAGAGCAGAGCTTATTGATGTCGGGATCCCCAATGATAATAATATAAGCTCCACTGTTGGAGAAAAACTGAGAAAATACCAGGAACTGGCAATCGAACTGAAGGAATTATATCATTTGGGGAACGTCACCACCACTCCAATTATAATATCTTCCAATGGATTGATACCAAAGACAACAGTGGCAGGCACGATGGGATTAAAATTACCTCTTGAAGTGCTGAAAGAGGCTCAACACTCAGTTCTCTTGGATACGGCACGTATTGTTCGAAAGTTTTTAAATATCTAAAAAGTAATAGATATTAATCAGAAGTGGCTGGACTTCTGGTCTCCCACCTCAGAAACTTATCCCGCAAAGCGAGAATAAAGAATGGAAATAATAATAATAGCAGCTGAGTTAAAAAGTTTGTATAAACTTAATAAAGTAACCGTTAGGGGCATCGTGATCTCCAGCAATGGCCTGGTACCGGTGTCTACTGTGGAAGCTACTGACAGGCTGGGCCTCCCAACTCATGTAATAAAGGAAGCTCAGAAAGCGGTGCTGCTGAATACTGCCAGAATCGTAAGAAGCTTTCTCAACATTCAATAGTAATTAAAATTGAACATACCTGAGGTGGTTGGAGTTGATTCTCCCCCTCTCAAGTAAACAAAAAAAAAACCTTTTGTAAAAGTGTTGACAAATAAAATAATAATAATAAAATAAAATGAAAAAAATTAATTTATAAGAAAATCAGAATTTTTTTAGACAGTTGTAAAGTGAAACCAGGTACTTTATACGTGAGTATTTTGTATTTAAAATATTTTTTCTGTAAGTATTTTAAATACATTGTAATTATTGTAAACTTTTTGCCCAGGTCTGGTTCATAATCTATAAACAAAATTAATTGTGTTTATTAAATCTTTCTCATGAATTATCTCATCAACACCTCTACAACCCATGGAAGGTCTGGGGTTTGCTATTTAGTAAATGAGAACTTTTTCTTGGTTAACAGTTGTGCAAAAAGGAGCAATTTCACCATGATAACAGTCATTTGTCAGTTTTTTTCTTCTTCATCAATTATTTAATTCATGTTACTCACTTTATAGAAGCTATTTGTGCCCCAGGATGGTCTTCCAACACCAGGGTCGACCCATAACTGATTAAACAAATAAATAATTACTTGCCACTTGAGACCTGAAGCATAATGCATTTCTCACTGAACAACACTGCTATGGAAATATATATTTTAATATATTGGTTTGGCAAATAAGTTCTTTCAGCTTTTCTGTTTATTTTTATGTCACTATTGATATACTTCTTATCTGATGAATTAATCTATAAGGTGAATTGTTTATCCTGTTTGTAATATGTCAACAACTATATCTGTTAACACTTGTTGAAACTAGCTTAG